ATTATAATTATAAAATAAAATAAAATATTACTTAAAGAATAAATCTATAAAAACCAGAGAAATATGAATATGAACAATCAAGAAGAAAAAACCCTATGTATAAAAATCTTTATATTCCCATTCATACTACATTTTATTGTTTTTTGTGCTGCAGTGCATGGCCGCACCGCACCATTGTCCTCACTGAGCCCGCCTACTGGGGCTGAGCCTGCCTGGTGGAGTTTCACCCCTGCCCTCACCCTGCAACCTCACCGGCCAGCCCCGCTCCCTCCCCGCCTGCTCGGCCCCCATGACTTTTAAAAAATGCCCCCCAACTTAAAAAAAAACCCCTGGCTAGGCCTCTGTTGTACCTTCCAAATCCGGTTGGTCTTTAAGGTGCTAAAGGTAAAGGTTCCCTTGCTCGAAAGCCAGTCGAGTCCGACTCTCGGGAACGGCATATCAACATGGCTGCCCTCTGAATCTTCTTAATTTCTAGTTTACTCGTAGCACTGGCCCAGTGACTCTTTCTTTCTTTTTCTTTTTTTTATACCTCCATTTATTTGATTTTATAAGCCTATATCATATACAAATACAAGAACATTAACTGAATTACATACATACAAACTCCTTGTACAACACATGTTTTTTTCTAGCAACACAGAGTAACGTGTCCATCACATCCTTACTAAATGATATCTTCCCTTTTCTCCATCATAACATTCACTTTTTGTTAACTGAGATCTTAATTTCTAGTTTACTCGTAGCACTGCCCCAGTGCATCTTTCTTAATGTCGGGCTCCTCCATTCGCCTCTCAATGGCAACTGATATTTAACCTTCTTTAGTGGAAACCTGGTGCATAATTTCATTTGCAATACATCTCTGCCCAGCGTGGCTTCTGCTCTCCCTTAGAAACAGTGTCTTCTCCTTTCCCCCGTTTTCTCCAGAGAAAGTCTACAAGGAGATGGATGAGGTTTTCGGCTCGGCTCACTCTATCTGCTATCAAGATCGGAAGTTTAAACCCTCCAATGGGAGTGGGTGGGCGGCTTGTGGATATGTATATAGTTGGCCCGGTTGGCCGTTAGTCTTTGTCTATGTGAAGTACCATAAACGTGTGCTACAGCATGTCGTCGTTCGAGTCTTCCATGCGGCGAACCCAGGACTTTTAACCTGTGGCATAATTTCATTTGCAATACATCTCTGCCCAGCGTGGCTTCTGCTCTCCCTTAGAAACAGTGTCTTCTCCTTTCCGCCGTTTTCTCCAGAGAAAGTCTACAAGGAGATGGATGAGGTTTTCGGCTCGGCTCACTCTATCTGCTATCAAGATCGGGAGAAGCTGCCCTACACCAACGCGGTGATTCATGAAACTCAGCGTGCCGAATTCATGTTACTGTTCGGAGTCCCTAGACAATGCGTGAAGGACGTGCACGTTCTCGGTTTTTTCATTCCAAAGGTATATGCGATTAATTCACCTTGACATAGAGAGTACACAGCTCTTTCTGTAGCAGGAACTCCTTTGCATATTAAGCAAAGCACCCCTAATGTAGCCAATCCTCCAAGAGCTTACGGAGCTCTTCTTACAGGGGCTACTGTAAGCTCTTGGAGGATTGGCTACATTAGGGGTGTTTCGCCTAATATGCAGAGGAGTTCCTGCTACAAAAAGAGCCCTGGCCGATGCCAGTCACAGGTACTGGCGAAACGTCAGGTCCTAAAATGCCAGGACCATGGCCATACAGCGCGCAAAATCTGCAACAGCTAAAGTATATGTGATCGTTACAACCATGTGTCTGTATCAGCAGCCATCAGACCATGGCAGCTAAAGAGATGTCCAGAATGTGCATTACTGCAGAATGTGAAACATATACTGTAAGTGAGAAGTTCCACCCCTCCTTCTTAACTGAACCAAAAGTACCACGTTGAATAGGGATCGGGGTGTTCTCTTTCCACATAGCCTTTGCAGGTATCTTGTGAGGCTTTCACTAGGTGGATATACGAAACTTCTGAGCTAAAATGGGACAGCTTGGATCCAGTTTGGTGGAGTGGTTAAGTGTGCAGACCAGGGGTCATTTCGTAGAAAAAGAGCTAGGGGAACTCATTAGCATAACTCATTAGCATATGCCACACCCCCTGACATCACCGGAAGTGTGTCATAAGGCCACACACCCCGCCCCCAACGGTCCCGGCCGCCATTGCCGAGGGGGAGAGAGAAAAAAAAAAAAAAAAAAGCCGCTCTGAGACTCCGAGTGAAGGGCGGGGTATAAATCCAATCTCTTTCATCTTCTTAAATGAGTACATAGCTACAGTATGTATTTCAGAAACCCAATGATTTCCCCTGTCTTTGGATATAAACTAGGTAGGATGTCCCTAGGTTTGCCACCTCCAGGCTGGGAAATACCTGGAGATTTGGGGGGGTGGAGCCTGAGGAGGGTGGGGTTTGGGAAGGGGCGGGGCTTCAATGAGGTATAAGGTCATAAAGTCCACCTTCCAAAGTGGCCATTTTCTCCAGGGGAACTGATGTCTGTCGCCTAGAGATGTTGTAATAGTGGGAGATTGCTAGCCACTACCCGGAGGTTGTAATACAAAAGATACGAAGAAGAAGAGGAGGAGATTGGATTTATACCCCGCCCTTCACTACCCAAAGGAGTCTCA